TTCAATAGCTAGGAATGTTTATGTTTAACTGGTCCAATCTCTCCTTTAACATTTGAACATGAATTTGCCAAGTGATAGCAGCTACATTTTGAAGTGTTAACTAATTTAATAATAACGATGTAGGATTCGGTTAGTACTAAGTGCATTTTATATAATTTTTCTTAAAAAGCAATTTGAATTCTACATAGTTTTGGCTTGCAAATATTTGGGATTTTTCCTTTAACTTTGGAACCAATTTTTGTAAATGGTTTCTGTGCAATATTGTTACTATTATTATCAATTAGGCTGGACCTAAGGAAACATTTTGTAGCGCCAAACTAGTTCTATGCTTAATTCTTTTTGATTGAAAGAAAAAGTGTATGTATACATATATACTACATAGCTTGGCGAGATATCTGAAAAATATTGTCTATAACCAAAAACCTGAGTGATGCGATACTTTGTATAAATAATATACATACATAAATATGTACATACCTAATATATGTGACTTGCACACGATTCTTACATATATATGCACATAAATAAATAAAAGAGAAAAATACAAGCACAAGTACATAGCTATGTATATGGACGACGTACAGGCGAAGTGCGCGGCAAAAATGAATCACAATTGACGGTTATTCACCACTCATATGAAATGAGAAAAACGCAAAAAATGTGATGTTATGTAAACATAGAAAAGCCGAAAATGCAAGAACAGAAAAATTTGATCAAGCAATCACATGCATTGACTATGTACAGGTATCGTGTGTACATTTTTCTTATGAATGAATGTATCAGCAGGTAGCAGACGGTCCAGGCACTTAAGAGTAAGCGGAAAGTTGTAAGTATTCACGTTGACTTATTCTTCTTTTCAGAGGCTTTAAGATTTCGCGAGCTTAGTGGCACAGACGGACAGGAAATTTAATATGTATTTATTTCACATATGTAATTCCTTTTATTATTCTCGCCCGCGTGATTACTGGTGAGTGTACGATATGGTAAAATAGGTAGACATATGTATTGGGTGATTTCGCTCTTCTAGATATTGTTAATGTGCTGCTTGCTTACCTGACACCTGCAAACGATGTCCACTTCCAGTGCCAGCATGTCAACCACTTTACCTTTGCCCTCATCGCCCCACTGAGCTCCGAGGACGACAGCAACCTTGGATTTGTACATATTGAGGCGCCCTTGATGCAATGTCTCATAATTGCTGCCGTTGACAACACTGCTACTTGCCTTCGACATCTTCACACGTTTAGTTGGCGTTGGTGGCGCTATTTTGGCAATATTCTATAAACGACCGAGAAGTTGAACAATTTGTCTACGGTCCCAAACGCACCCTAAGTACTTTTCCCGACTCAAGCAAAACTTGTAAAGAAATCACATCGAATAGAAAAGCACATTTATCGGCCTATTCGGAATGTGTGATTTGCCAAATGTCATCTGTCAAACCATGCGCATTGGAATTTTTCGTCATGGTTGCCATTCTCACGAGCAACAGGACGTTCACATGAGGTCCGTTCCCGTACGCAGGCGTACTTATAACCTAACGTAACAAAGAACGTAAATGTATAAGAAGCAACGAAGAACGTAAAAGTATAGGAAGCAACAACTCGTTCGTTTGAACAAAGAGCGTAAATGTATAAACAGCGACAACGAATTTAAAAGTATAAGAAGCGACTACTCGTTTGTTTGAACAAAGATCGTAAATTATTACGTGTTTGGAGTATCTGGAGTCAACTGTAAATACATCGTAAACGCTCGGTTGACAAAAATTTTAAAATTTTTGACCGAATCTCGTGAAGGCAACCTTGTTGTTAAATGGCATTAGTGATAAAACACTTATGTAAGTGATTTTAGAAGTTTTGACTTAACATCAAAATACCATGGGCCATTTATGCAAATAATGCATGTTTATTTCGTTTTTTGTTAAACCAAAATCTTAAGAAACTAATTAATAATTTAAGAGTTTGAAGAAGTTAGAAGTTTAGAAGAAAAATGTCTTAACTCCAGATAAGTTATTTTTATAAATGTCCACTTTTAATTTGGCTGCCTGTGATTTCTTCAATTTTACATTTCAGAATTTTTGTGGCCCTCACAAAGAACATAGATAACAAGAAGGGACAACTCGTGATAATTGTTGCGAAAGTGCGCAACAGGGGCTTCTCTTTTGCCCTAGTGCGTGTTTTGCTTGAATGAAAAGAGAAGGCACGGCCCTGATGCGCAATTTCGTCACAATTATAACGAATTGTCCCTTCTTGTTATCTACGTTCTTTGGCCTACCGACAAAGAACCTAAATCTATAAGAAGAGACAACATGTTATAATTGTAGCGAGAGGGAACATCAGGAGCGAGCCTTCTCTTTTCATCCAGTCTAAAAACATATTTGATTTACGTTCTGAGTTGTCGCTTCTTAAACATTTACGTTCTTTGAGAAAAGCGGTTAAATCGTGAATACGGCATCAATGCTCATATGTAGACTTGGCAGCTCTTTCGTGGAAAGCACACTTTTATTTTATCCATCAGAGGTCGCCTTAAAAGCTGTCAAAATATATAAGTTTTTTTTTAGAGATTTCAGTGGCAAAAATACATCGATGTTGCATCGAAATGTACTTCGATATTTTGCGATAAATCGAATTTATCATATAATGTTTGACAACAAAATATGTTATTAGCGAAATTGTACAAAATTTTAAATAAATTACTGCAACTTAGCTTATTATTTTTCTGACGGAACTTTTTTAAGCTTTTTGAATATTTTGGTAAAAGTCACTTATCTTTTTTGAACAATTGAAAAACTAATAGGGATCTTCCTTTAAACTCGTAAAAGCTTTGTAAACCTCGTAAAGCTCGTAAATTCACGAGCCTCGTAAAAGAACTGTTAGGAAAAATCTACGAAGCAAAAACTGTTTCACAAAATCCTGCTTGAACTGTCAAACAGTCACTTTACGCACCTATTTACATATTTTCTTACATCGACTATTTATATATCGCGTGGAAAATTTTCGAAGCATCGAAGCAAAGCATCGATTTTTCGATGCATCGATAATTTTCCGAAATTCCTTAATTTGTTTACTTTGATCGTTGTACACGGTTTGGCTTCTACTTGCAAAAATTCATAACAAAAATGGCTTCAACGTATTGCCAATTGTAAGCTTGCTTATCGTTTATGTAAAACACCGATTAATGTATTTTATTTCAATTATTTCTTTCAGCTGTGAAAAGGATAAATTTAAGTATACTTGTCCTAAGTGTAACGCTTTGTATTGTTCAGTGGCGTGCTACAAAGCACCGGAGCACTTGAAATGTTCTGAAGAATTTTATAAGTCTTGTATACAAGAAGAATTAACCACATCTCAACCCAATTCACGGGATGATATGAAAAAAATGTATGAAATTTTAACCCGAATGCATGAGAGCGAAGCTGGTCTCGAACCTGATTTCAATGATCCAATAGACTCTGACGACGAGGGAGTGGATGCTGAAAATTGCGCCGAAGTAGATTTAGATGAGGATGATGAGGAGGAAGATGTTGAAGATAACGCGACACGCTTACAAGATGTTGATATTAATGATGCTGACGAAATATGGCATAGATTGACATCAGAGGAGCGCTCGGAATTCAAAAAGATGGTTGATTGTGGTGAAATAATGAAATTATTGCCTAGTTATAAACCCTGGTGGATGAAATCAAAGCCCCCAAAAATTGTAGAAGTAAGCTGCGACAAAAGCGATCAAGCCGAAAATTCGAATGTACCTGAAATACAAAAACAAATTCCAAAGTTTTCTAGTATTTGCCAAAAGCCTCCTTCAAGTTGCTTGCATTATAATCTTTGGAATATCTTGAC